TTTTTATTTCTTAGAAAGTGTGCATTGCGTCTACCGGCCTGTTACCGTGGGAAACGTTTGTAAAGAAAATGTCTTCCCCTGCATGGTCATACCTGTATCGCCACTTTAATATGCTATAAAACGCTTGTAGTAGTAAAATGATGGATTAAAAAAATGAATCCATTAATTCTTGGTTTCAATCTTTCGGGATCTTCAGGCGGTATTATATTTTATTTATATATATATATATATATATATATATATATATATATATATATATATATATATATATATGCAAACTGAATGTACTTTTCATTATATTTATATAAGCAGATTGCAGATCAAAGAATATTATGTATGTGTATGTGCGTTTGTGCATGTCCGCGCGCGTATGTATGCGCGTGCGTCTTATCAGATGAGTATATTTGACCTTTTACCCTAATTGGTCCAAGTTTTCCTCTATAATAGTGTTGTGGCCTTGTTGTGGGCCAGAAATAAAGACACAAAGAGAGTAATTGAATTAAACAAATATATTAAAAGAAACAGTAATACAAAACATATACAAACGAGAGTGTTACAGCAAGAACGTTCGGTCCGACTGTCAGAGCTGACTGCTGAAAAATTCCCTCTCCAAAAGGCAGTACCTGCTCCTATTTATAGCTAGGAGAGTCTATGCATACGTGGGTAAATTACCATAACAAATAGACAGTGGAATGAGATCAATCTACCTTTGTCAATTGACTGTGCTTTGTTCCAAAAGACTAAAAAATAAGAAATACTTTTAAAGATGACCGATGAGTACAAAGGCTAAAATATTGTGACTATAGCAATCAAGATAAATATACAAGTCCGAGAAAATAAGTCCGAGTGTATAACAATAACACTTGTAATTTTCTTTTCTTTATTCCATACACGTTCGGACTATAGATTTTATCTTTGTTGTTTTTATTACAATTTTTCTCACAATACATTCTTAGGCTTTCCAATATCTTTTATTAATATTATCTTTTATTAAAACTGTCTCTTATTAAGATTATCTTTTATTAAGATTATCTTAATAGCAAATTATGTTATAAGATTATCTTACAGTTTTTAATACAATATTTTAACTGATCTTTTCAGCCTCATTCTGAGATGAAGTATGCTCATCTGTTATGGAATAAAGTATTTGCATTATTCCATATATGTTTTAGCACGAAAAATATGCGAAATATTGAAAATATTTCATTTCACAACTTCAGAGAGCAGAAGAATATAAAAACTGAAACTTTATTAAAAAAAATCAAGTCTGGACAGTAAATAGAATAATGAAACTACTTAATCTCAGAGATTAAGAAAATACTAGGAAGACCAAAGAATATATCGGCTGAATTGGTATTAATAAGCAAAAAATATTAAGAAAATAATATAACATATGAAATAATTGTGACGTTCATTTTGGTTTTCTGTAATTTATTTTTATTCTATTCTAAAAGCAAAACGAAAATGTATTTAAGCTATATTTCAGATAGGCTAAATGATTTTTCGATAGATTAGTTTCACTTAGTAAGTACTGATTCCTCAAAACACTCTAACGCAATACAAAGCTAATCCTTGTTTACACTGTTCGATAAAGAGTATGGCGTCCAAAACTAAAATAGAAATTCCTCTGGGAGTACGGACAGTCGCAAATTTCTTAAAAATGGTTTAGAATATCGAATAGTCTGTCTGTTCTGGGTACGAATGACCAAAATATTTACATGCACGAATAACAGCTTAGCCCAGACGTACATGTCAATGCTCACATACACACATATACTGACAAATTCACACGCTCAGCCGATCGTTTTAGATTTGGGAGAATTTTTGTCTATTTCCTTCTTTGTTTTCCTTTCTGCTTTTCACACTTTTTCCTGTTAATAATGATTTTGTCCATTCCCATAGAAGATTATCTAGATATATTATAATTATTTGAGATTTGTGATCATGAAAATGGTCATTTCACTGCGCCTACACTCAGTCTAGAGTCACAATAGCTTCCTTAGTACATGAGCTGTTCCAAGATGCGCTGCCACCACCGTGTGTTGTGGTATCCTTGGTGAACTCGATTACCTCAAACACACGAGTGTTGACATATTATTATTATTATTATTATTATTATTATTAGTGAGATTTGTGATCGTCTTTGATTCCTCAATGTTTCAGCCGGATGGATATGGTCATATTTCAGTTCCTACCCGCAACCTAAACTCACAATACCTTCCTTAATATATGACCTTTTTCAAAGTTGCGCTGGTAGGGTTAGTTCTTGTATCCTTAGTGAATCTGATTACCCCAATTACACGAGTATTGATATATTATTATTATCATCACGATTATTATTATTATTATTATTATTAGTAGTAGTAGTAGTAGTAGTAGTAGTAGTAGTTTCTTCAACTGTCCAATATTTCGGCCGGGTGAAGATGGTCATATCTCAGCTCCTATCCGCAGGCTAGAGTCACCATACTTTCCTCAGCACATGAGTTAATTGCAAGTACAAGTCCTTGTATCACTGATGAACTCGATTCACTCAGTTACACGAATGTTGCCGTATCAATATGTGTTTATTATTTAAATATATATGGAAATTTTCTATTGAGAATTTTTGTTTTATGATATATATATATACGATACAATATATATCTATATCTAAATACGTAACCATATGTGTATACACAGACATACACACACACACACATAAATATATAAATGATCTAAATAAAGAGATATGATCAACTATGTATGTGAGCGTACACATCGAGGTAAACAAATAACTATTTATTTAATCAACAGTGAACTTTGTATCCACAAACAATGTAGCGTTGCTCCATGACACCCAGAAAAAAAACTGTGTTAAAAAGTTCATAATTTTTTGTACCTGATGAAAGGGTGAACCATGAAACTGAGTCGTACTGTAAACGTAGGTGTATGCGTAATTATATATATATATATATATGTGTGTGTGTGTGTGTGTGTGTGTGTGTGTGTATGTATGTATGTATGTATGTATGTATATATATATATGCATCCATATATTCATATACAATATAACTACCGCGTATAATATGTGTTAATAAGTAGAGATACGCACATTGTCCGTGCATGTGTGTGTATGTGTCTGCATGTTGTGTGTGTGTCTGTGTCTAGATGATGTTTGGTTAGCGTCACAGTTATCGGCGCGGAAAGTGAATATATTGAGCCGGGTTCAAATTCTGGACGAATGTTTCGTTTTGCTCGGGCTAATACATTTTAAAAAAAGGTATGAATTCCTGTTTTTCCAATCATTTCTCTAACATCGTGTCACACTGAATTTTTTTTTTTTTTTTTTTTGCGTTGGGCAGCAGCCAATCTAGTAGAAGGAATACTCTGAATTTCAAACTTGATGGGGACTGTCTGGGAACTTTGTATCACACTGCACCATTCTTTTGCGGCTGGTTCATTACCAAATTATTCAAATCATCTGGTCTGTTGGGTCCCCAAACATCGGAATCGAAGGAATAGCCCATCCCTATATATATATATACAAATATATATATATATATATATATATATATATATATATATATATATATATATATATATATATATATATATTAATACAAATTACAAACAAAAGTGCATTTCATTATACGTACACTAATAACGCTAGAAATATAACCATTTTCTTCATCTTTTTATTTATAATAAAATATACAATGTTAATAAATCTTTTCAAAGTAAATAAATACAAGACGCCGATATTTTTATTTACTTTATTTTATTAATTTATTTTTATTTATTTATTCGGTACGTAATAAATTCATTGAGTTTTTGAAAGAAAAAAAATCTTTTTTTTTATAAAGCTGCGTCTAAAACAATATGGCGGATTCGTGAGACGCCTTCTGCAAAATTTAGATAAACTACCAAGACGCAATCGCGATACGTGTGCTAGTAAAATGGATGTCAACAGAAAGAAAGAAAGAACATTATTAGTGTTAAATACCAGCATTTCTATTCCTCTTAATACATTCTTGGAATACACTTTAAATCATCTGTATTGCTGACAAGAGACCACCGCTTTGGAATAGGAATTTTGGTAGTAGTAGTAATAGTAATAGTAGTAGTAGTAGTAGTAGTAGCAGTGATGTTAGCGATTATGGTGATGATGTTCGTGGTAGTCGTAGGAAAGCTACTGCATTTTTCATGAATGAATTTATAAACTGCGATCAGTGAAATTTTCTTTCGGGAGAAGAAAAGAAGAAATTGTCTGACACCAAAAATCACTTTCTTCATTTGCGAAGCCGTCAATTCGAGATAAACGCAGATTAATTTCATGAGTTTTCGGAAAAGGAAAAAAAAAAAAGATAAAAGCTGAGAAAGTTAAAGGTGGGGGCGGAGGAAAACTACATTTCACACCGATGTACACTCTCGCTGCAAGCTTCACAGATCTCCAAAAACGCACTTGCCTTTAGGGTAAGAAAAGGTTAAAGAGGGAGTGGGAGAAATTGATAAAGGGAGATAATCTAGTAAAAGTTGGAAGAGTTGAGAAGTGGATCTGGTGAGTGGTGAGGGTAGATATTATGGGGAAGAGGAAGATGAAAAGGCCTGTAAACTAGACAGAGAAAGAAAGAAGATTCGATAAATTAAGTAAAGTTGGGTGATGTGTGGGTTTTTATGTAATATTCAAAAGAGAAAACTGAGAGCCAGAGAATAGAATTGAAGGCCAATAGAATGAATGAAAGAAGAGTTAAGTAAGTAAATAAGAAAGAAAGAAAGAAAGAAAGAAAGAAAGAAAGAAAAAAAAATGTTAAGTAAGAGCAAAAAGAGAGAGAAAGACTTTTAAGAAAGAAAGAAAGAAAGAAAGAAAGAAAGAAAGAAAGAAAGAAAGAAAGAAAAAAAAGATGTTAAGTAAGAGCAAAAAGAGAGAGAAAGACTTTTAAGAAAGAAAGAAAGAAAGAAAGAAAGAAAGAAAGAAAGAAGAAAAAGATGTTAAGTAAGAGCAAAAAGAGAGAGAAAGACTTTTAAGAAAGAAAGAAAGAAAGAAAGAAAGAAGAAAAAGATGTTAAGTAAGAGCAAAAAGAGAGAGAAATACTTTTAATAAAGAAAGAAAGAAAGAAAGAAAGAAAGAAAGAAAGAAAGAAAGAAAGAAAGAAAGAAAAAGATGTTAAGTAAGAGCAAAAAGAGAGAGAAAGACTTTTAAGAAAGAAAGAAAGAAAGAAAGAAAGAAAGAAAGAAGTGAAAAAACATATTAGAAAAGAAAACAACAGTTCTGGGTATAAAAAGAAAGATGAAAACAAATATAGAGTCGATAAAATACTGACATAAAACGGAAAAAAAATGAAAAATGAATTTAAAATAAACGAAATTGAATGAGAAAGATAAACATATAACAATAAGAAAGAAAGAAAGAAAGAAAGAAAGAAAGAAAGAAAGAAAGAAAGAAAGAAATACGCCAATAAGTAAATAAGTTAAAGAAAGAAAGAAAGAATCAAAAATAGATAAGCGTAGGTATAAGAAAAGTCTGCAATGATTTATCAGTCGTTCATTTAATCTGTGACCCACGGTGAAGATTATATGACTCCTCACTTTGGAACCAGTCACAAAATCTTGATCTTCTTATTATTATTTATTTTCTCTGTTTTTAAAGATGTACTTTCTTTTCCTGGATAAGAATAAAAAGAATTAGTGATAAGGAATGAGATCAGATAAAGGTGTGATTTAAACAGTTGCCATGGAATCAGACCAGCAGTGTCGTGTAGAATACAGCTCAAAGTGACAATTAAAAAATAATAAATAAAAAGAGATTAATAACTTGAACAAGAATACAGTTTATTCGAAGTATTATTTACTAAAAGAAAATGTGTTATGTATCTTCAATTTATTTCACGAGAAACTTCTAAAAAACTCAGGTAATTTCAACAGTGGGCGAATTTAAAGTGGTACGAAATTATGTGAACCAACGTGCAAATATCAGTCAAGAGGAAAAACTAAGAATTTAGGTAAGTAATTCTTTTTATGGTCGTATTTCCCGAATGTTTTAGTAGCATATATTATATTTAGATATTCTTACATATTGTCAATATATTTATTGGCCAATTCAATATGAAATGAACACGCAATCGAAAACTTGCGTGTCTAACACTCTAAAAATAATTTTATAAAACGTTATTTTCTCAAGTTCAGAAAAGTATTCATAAAATCCTTCATATGCAAGAAGTAACATATATATATATATATATATATATATATATATATATATATATATGTTACTATATATATATATATATATATATATATATATATATATACACAGGTAAAGGGAGAACGAATAGAATGCAATTCCAACGTTCGCAACATTTAATTTAAAAGAGGGTTCAATACAAAATAGAGCAATATTCTTTATTTTAGGATATTACATCGAAAAACAAGTCAAAATCGCTACACAATTGCAGTCCTGTTTCAATGCATATCAATGAATCTCATCAGGCGATTGTAAATTACTGGCGAGTCAACGATTTATTCAGATTTAAAAGCAAAATACAACCTACCTCTTTTTCGTACAAAAGAAAATATGCATATATATATATATATATATATATATCTATATATATATATATATATATATATATATATAAGGATATTTATTGTGCATAATTAATAAGGAATTAACTCACTGGCAACAGCTTGCAAGGCAAGCTATCTGATCATCACTTACAACAGACACCAAATTTCTTGATCCGTATCGTATTTATATAAAAAAAACATTATAAGTAAAAGGCATCCTATATATCAAGATAATTGTTGAACTATACCAACAAAGAACGAGCTCACTAACAATGGATTGTGAGTTTAGCGTTCAATCATCGCTCACAGTAGACACATTTCTTAGTCAGTGTCTCATTCATAAAAACGTAATAAGTAAGGGACATACTATAATTGTTGGATTTAACAAAGGAAGGATGAATTCGCTAACAATAGCTTGCGAGTAGAGCATAGTAAACATCACATATTTTCCTTTGGTCAGTATTACATTCATAAAATGTATAAGCAGGTGGCATCCTCTATATCAAGATATTTGTTGGACTTAACCAATGAGTAATGATTTCAGTGAGAATGGCTTGTGACTCAAGCACTGTAAGCATAGCATTTTTGTTTGATCAGTCTCGTGTTCATAAAATCATTTATAAGCAAAAGACATCCTACATATAAATATATTTCTAAACCAATCAGAAATAAACTTGCTAACAATGGCTTGCGAGTTAAATACTATAATCATCGTACTTTTTCGTTTGGTCAATAGTGCATTCATGAAATTATAAGCAAGTGACATCCTATATATAAAGATATTAGACTAAACCAATCACAAATTAATTCACTAACAATGGCTTGCAAGTCAAGTTCTGTAAGCGTCGCACTTTTTCCTTTATTCAGTATCGTATTCATAAAATTATTTATAAGCAAGAGATAACCTATATAAAGGTATTTGTTGTACTTAACCACTGACAAATGAACTCACGAGCAATGGCTTTCGAATTTACTATACTAACCATTGAGACATCTCCACAGACAAACATAAGAAAAATGAATAAATATATCAAGATATTTGCTGGACTAAACCAATTCATTTCAGTGTTTCGCATCATAATCTAAAATTTTAGCCAGTTCAGAAACTTAAACTGAATATTAATTTAAGGTATAAAAAAGGAATAATAAAAACCATGAATATAGTATTATGCCAATTTTTGCTTACCTGTCTTGATTATCAGTATTAAAAACCTTGGCTATATACATGAAGGAACTGGTGCCAGGGAGAAACGTTCAAATATCTTAGACATTAAACAAACTCACTTATAATAATTTTTATACATTAAGAAACAAGATTATTAAAAACGAGTAAATATATAGGTATATAAACTATAAACCAAAACGAAAGAATGAGAGAGATATAATTAAAAAGTTCATTCGTGGTGCCGTATGCTAGAAATTATACCTGATCGAACAAAAAAAAGAAGAAAAGAAATTGAAATAATAACTATTTTATCTCCTTTTTTTATTTCGATATCCTGAAAATTCTTGCAGACGATATATTTCATTACAGTTGGCTAAAAGAAATGAAGAGAGGGTTAATATCTGTTAAAAACAGAATACTGATAAGAAAAACATCCATTCAGAAAATACATTTATATCCTTTTTTTTTTAAAAAAAAAAGAAAAGCATTTGCTTTCATATTTTATTTATTTGAAAATTAAACTATTAAATTAAATTAAACTATTTTAAATTAATTTCTCTTCAATAAAGAAGATTTTTCACCTGTTTCTCATGATTGTTCTATATTTGTCGATTTTTTAATCACATTAGTCGTGTAAGAAAGGTGCATCTATATATACGTATTGCATCACGTGTAATCAACAAAAACAATTCTAAAATACATACGCAAATAAAGCGGTGTTATTTTTTAGGCATTTCTTGCATCAAAACAATTGGTATTAAAAAAAAGTAAATTTCAAAAGAATACAAATACATAAAAATTATAAAATTATTCTAAAAATCGATTAAATTCTCTTAATGTAAAAACTGACATAACTATTTTTTTTCATTTTATAAACAGTGAATTTAGAATATATTTTAAAAATATAAACTAAAAAGTGTCTAAATAAAATCACTGTTTTAGTTTATATGGCAATTTTAAATTTTCATATTACTTTAACTCGCCTTTAGTGGATTAATTTCTGTGATTATTTAGTCTTTTACGAGATAAAAGGTCATTAGATTTGTGCATAAATATATATAAATCTTACTTATTATAAAACGCAGATTGTGTGTGTGTGTGTGTGTCTGTACGTTTATATATTGGATCGGATTTCCTACATTTTTCAACCGATTTCAACAAAACTTCACAGGACTACGTAAAATTACCTTGCAGTAGTTCTGACAGCGCCCAAAATTGGAAAAATACAATTGTTTTTGCACGAAATCAATTTGAAAATACGATTAAGAGGCATTAATGAAAGGGGGACAATTCATATCGAGTTATATTTATTAATATCGAGTTATCGAGTTATATTTATTATAAAACCCAGGTTGTGTGTGTGTGTGTGTGTGTGTGTGTGTGTGTGTGTGTGTGTGTGTGTGTGTGTGTTCGTTTATATATGGAATCGGATTTTCTACATTTTTCAACCGATTTCAACAAAACTTCACTTTTTTTTGGCAGATAGTGTTTCTTATTGTCTTGCATACTTTTTTCTTTATTTTTACATTCAGAATGCTTTAAAAATTCCATTTACAAGACAATTGTTTATAATAAAATTCTATTCAATCGGTAGACTCATAAAGATTGAAAACAATGTTTTTGTTTGAGTTTGGGTTTGACCAATTCGTAAAAAAAAAATTAAAAAAAACAAAAAAAAACTAATTAAGACATGCGTGTCCGTCAACCTTAAACAATAATCTTTGTCAATTTTATTTTTCAGTCTTTATGATGGTCGATACTTGATCTATCTCTTACTGTTACATCCCCGGCAACGCCGGGCTCTACTGCTAGTTATATATAAAATTAAATATAATATATATATAAATTATATATAAAATTAAATAAAAACGCATGCATGTACGCACACACATGCATAATACCATTGTATAATTTTACTCAATGAGAAAAATTGGTAGATTTTTCTAATTTGGAAATCTGTTTGGAATATTTTGTCAAAGTCTTTGTGTAATTTCTGGTAATTGGTAATGTTAGTAATGGCAATATTATTTACTTATAAGGAAACATTTGGCATTCACTGGCAGAGCAGCCAGTGCTACTGTCAGTTGAAATTTATAAAAATTTCATCTTTCAGGAAAATAGGTTTCTCAATTCCATCACACTCTTTGTGGTATTGAATGGGCCGTTTACTTCCTAACCTTTTGTTTAAAGTAGTATGGAAGGTCTTCATTATGTCATTATTTTCTACTTGAGTTACATGTGATATCCATTTTAGTTGTTACTGCTGTTGAATGTCCTCAAGTAATCTCCTTTCTTTTATTTGGTACAGTTCTTTATTTGTGATTCTGTAGCACCAATCAACACGGTTAAAAGAAGGGTGGTCTTGGCCAAGACGTACAAGTTTCATTTATTTAAAGCCATGTTTAGCCATTGAGCTGAGAAAGCGGTTGTACACGTATGAAAGCCTTGATGAAATGGGCTTATTTAAGAATATAACTTGCGTTTTCATGTTAATGTTTTGATTTTGTAGCAATTGGTGGTGTTGGGCGAAACTAACCCCGTTGCAGACTATTATGTGACCAATGTACTTATTTCTTGTACTAAATTTTTTACAACTGATGTATAAAGCGAGGAAAAATATTAACAACACATTAAAAAATAATGTAAGAAAATTATTTTGTATTTCTTTTTCCTCCAATTACTCTTCTGTTTAATGATATAATTACAACGGGTATCAACTTGTGAGTGACTAGAAAGACATGCTCATTAAATACTTAGAGAGTTTAGTATATATATATATATATATATATATATATATATATATATATATATATATATATATATATATATGAATATATTTGGTGAGTTTGTGAGTTGTGAGCCTCGGTTTCACGCTTTTGCGATCGTCAGACAAACTGATTAATTTTTTTTAAAATTTGGGTTTATGTAGATTGAGTGGGGGGAAGATAACGGCAACGATCCCCCCACTCCCATAATAACACCAATACACGCAATCTACATAAACCCAAATTTTTTAAAACATTAATCAGTTTGTCTGACGATCGCAAAAGCGTGAAAACCCAGGGTCACAAACTCACATCTATCCAACCAAATATGTTAGCTCTATCTCTGATATTCAGCGCTTTCTAATAAGTACCATACATATAATATATAAATAATTATATATATATATATATATATATATATATATATATATATATATATATATATATACATATATATATATATATATATATATATATATATTTATATTTATATATTATTTTTCATATATATATATATATTTTCATATATATATATATATATATATATATATATATATATATATATATATATATATATATATATATATATATATATATTCAGATATATATATGTTTAAGGATCGCCAAAATGTTAAACCCAGGGTTACAAACTCAAATCTATACAACTAAGTAATGATTAAATAAATTATTTATTCACCTGCATGAGTACGCAATCACTCGCATATATGGTTGATCGTATCTCTTTATTTAGACCATTTCCACACACACAAAATATATATATATATATATATATATATATATATATATATATATATATGCTAACCTGACTATCTATTTATCTCTCTCTTTTTTTTACATATATATATATATATATATATATATATATATATATAAGAGAGAGAGAGAGAGATCTAGGACCTTCCAGTAATATCCTTTACCTGACCCCGTCGCCTTCACTCTCTCGCCACCGGACCTTGCAATCATATATATATATATATATATGTGTGTGTGTGTGTGTATATATGTGTGTGTTTGTCTATATATATATATATATATATATATATATATGTCAGATTAAATATAAATTCATGTTTGTATGTGTTTGTGTGTGTATTTCCTTCACTTAATTTTACTTGCTTTATTTTCACTAGCAGTATTAGTTGTAAAAGTAATATTATCTTAAATTTTCTTATTAGATGAATCTTATCTTAGCCATTAATAATTTTTCATTGATATTTTATTTTAATTCCAATTGTTTTTAATCGCAACTATTTAGTCAAGTAAACATTCTTCGAGTTTCCTCCCTCTGTAGGATGGCTGCAACATCTTTGATGTGTTTGAACCATCGGTATTGAAGATTTAATCTAATTATGTAAACGTATTTCTCTTTTTGTTTACAATGCCCTAGTCTTTGTATCTATATTATATTGGAGGAAACATTGTCAGTTATCAATTTTTTACTAGTATATCTGTTAACTAACGGTCGTAGAATAACGGCCTGGTCAGTTACAACAGAACGCAACTTAAATTAAGATGGAAGAAATACTAAAATAAAAGAATATATATAGTAATTTCATGTAATATAAAACGTAAATAAGAAAACATTCTAAGTAAATGTCGTTTAATGATTGAAGGCCAAAATTAATAGGGTTATTGTAGTCAATATATTATGTGATATTTTTAAAAACAAAATATATTGATAATATCTAGATGATATATTAGTATTTAATACGTGTCATATTAGAACATGTTCATGAATAAAAGTAATGATTAAAATTTTCATTGGATATACAAAACAAATTTATCCAGAGAAAAGTACCTTCTATAATAATGATTCATGATAATTCGTAGTGACAATGTGAAATATGAAAATGTTCTAAAATTCAAAATAAGACGCGTACATGTTTTCTTTTGAACCAAGTTCAATATTTTTAAATTTTTAAACTAAAAGGCAAAAACTTAAAGTTATAAATTCAGTGAACTGTTACGAGACTATTGTCATTATTCCATCAATTATTCAGACTAATATCTTCATCTTCTCTTCTTCTGATAACTACATTTCAGTCAATGTCCTCTCTGACTTTCCGAGTCTTGTCTGATATTCTCAATTGAAGTATTGTTCTTTCATTAATTATTCAGACTAATATCTTCATCTTTGTATTTTTTAGCAGTTCTGTTCCAACTGAGTTGTTTTCTGGCTTTTTGCACATCCTATCCAGTTAAATTACTCTAAAGTCCTTCCACGTCCTTTACGAATGTGTCATATATTACACTGGAGGAATTTGTCACCTGACTAACGTGAAGATCACACACCCAAGGAAATCCAGAAATCCAAACTATTCATGGTGTAAGAACAATTCTAAGAAAAATAATGAAAAAGTATAATGTAAGAATATAAATACGGAAAACCGTTTTTACCTCCGGAAATTTATGCACACTTAAGATTATGAAATGAAATAAACTTTCATATAATTCAACTGGGGTAAATGTTATATATCTAAAATAATTGAACATTCAAGTATATGAAGAATTAAATTCTCAACCGAAAAATGTTTGGTTGTGCAATAAATTTAAATTGAGAATAGGAACAGTTTTTACTGGAAAGTACAACCGGTCAGTTAAAATATCTAATTGGCATCTACCTCTTCATTGTTTCAAATTTAGGATTCGTCTCACTTCTCAAATTGACATCAGGTGTTGGGACGAATTTTAATCAAATACAAATCTAACATCAACAAATTGGGACTTTTGATTTAGTAGAAATGTCCAAACGTAGGATAATTGCCAATTGGTCCGGCTGATAGTCAAAACAACTGTTTTAAATATTAAGATTTAAAAATTGTTCAAGTG